TTGTTGGCACTGGTTTGGCTGGGCTGACAGCATCGATCGAATGCATTCGTAAAGGGCATAATGTCAGGGTGCTTGAGCGTAACAGCAACATCAATACTGCCGGTATGTCCAAGTCATGTCGATGGGGGGGCGTTGGAGCCATTTTGACTTGAATTTAGGTGACATGTATTTCATGGGACACAGCGCCACGAAGTTCTTCCGGCATTGGCCAGAGCTATTCCAAGAATACGAAGATATTTCAATGAAGAATGCCTGGATAGAGACGTTTAAGCATAACGGAGAGCGTATGATTCCACCTCTTAAAGTAGCGGAGCGTCTGCGCTCCGCCGGTATGGATCCGAACACACCGCCCGGCACGTTCCAAATGCGACCACTCGTCTACAAGATGTTCGTCAACCAGGTTGAGAAGTTGGGTGTCAAGGTCCAGTTCGGCAAGAAAGTGGTAGATTACTACGAAGACGAAGCACGTCAAAAAGCAGGAGTAACCACGGAACAAGGAGAGCGTTTCGAAGCTGACATTGTCATCGCGGCGGACGGAGTAGGCTCGAAGAGCCAGAAGCTTGTCGGTGGGCAAGTACGAGCAATGAGCAGCGGAAGAGCCATGTGGCGAGCAGCTTTTCCCATCCACCATCTAGAGAAGAACCCGGAGGTGAAGGACTTCTTCAAAATGGTCGGAGAGAACGGAACTGAGCCTATCATTCGAACTTGGCTTGGGTAGACATCACACCCCTTCAAGTCGTAAGCTTGGATTGCTGACCATATTAAATTACAGTCCAGGAACATACGCAATGACGTTGACTCGCCCCGGCACATGTATCTGGATCATGAACCACGACGTAAGTGGCCCTATATTACCCGGGCACGATTTGTTACTCATGATTTGATGTGTACAGGTTACCGGTTCCGAAGAGGAGAATTGGAATCATACGGTCGAAGCCGATGAGGTATTGAACAATATGGACAAGGGCGTTGGTCCCACGCCTTGGGCCCCAATGTTCAAAGAACTTGTCAAGCTCACGCCACCAAAGACTATCATTAACTTTGAGTTGTTCTGGCGCAATCCGCAACCATCATGGGCATCGCCAGGAGGCCGTGTGGTCGAGATAGGTGACGCTGCCCATTCCTTCCTCCCCGCGTCCGGTAACGGCGCTACACAGGCAATTGAGGACGCCGTATCACTCGCTTCTTGTCTCCAAATTGGAGGCAGAGATAACGTACCTCTGTCAGTTCGGACTCACATCCGCTTCCGTTTTATTCGCTGCTCGTGCGCACAAAAACTGGGTTTCTCCAACGCTGAGCTGCTTCAAGATACGGACTGGAGCAAGGTCAAGATGGATCCCAAACGAGCGCAGCCAAAATTGCCGAGTTGGATATGGAAACATGATCCGGAGTCCTATGCGTACGATAACTACCACAAGATGGCCGAGGCGATCAATGAAGGGGTGCCATTCGATCAAGTCGATACGGTACCTCCGAACTATCCACCGGGTTACCATTATAAGGCATGGAGCATCGATCAAATCATGGAAGATGTTAGACAAGGCAAGCCTGTCGACCTAGGAGATGGAAATTGGGATTAATTCTGGGTACATTGTGAAGATGAGGTGATGGGGTTGAGGATAGCCCATTGGGTGGCTGGTAATACAGATGTTCAGGGAACCCATTCCGGAATCGTACACTTTACGTCCATCTTTTAGTATAGAGCGACAGTGGTTATCGTGTCTAATACAAGACTCATAATCTCATATTCAGACATCTATCGTGACTTTTGTATTTCTTGGTTACATAGTGCTTAGTTGGATTGCATGAAGAGATGAGATCGGTGAGCATTACATTCTTCAAGGGATGTCGAAAAGCGCGGTATTTCTTACATGTCATAATGAGACTACTTCCAATTTCATCCTAGTCGGATGTATCCTCATGCATACTGTCGCCTCGCTTGAATGATTTCATATTTGGGGAGGTTATCATAGATTTCTCTATGTTCTGTCCGAGTATGCAGACTAAGGTCCGTGGGCAATACCTGCATTGCCCTTGCATGTGGTAAATTATCCGGCATTTTGCCTTTCTTATATCCCCGGTTATTATGTGAACATCGTCGGTCCATATATAGCGGCCCATATTGTGCTTGTTTATCTCACACGTGGCAGATAGTGTGTGCCAGTTGGAGAACCCATCCCTCACAGCTCCCAAAATAGCAAATTCGGCCAACCGTAAGATCTCTCTTCGCCACGACCCTAAACTCTACACGATTAGCTGCCCTTACTATGGACGGTATGAAAACTGATGACTACTATTTCATGTCTCCACGACGCCGAGATCGCCCCGAGACGATGCACAGAGCTCCTGCCCTAGGCCATTAATTCGACCGATGGGCTTCCAGTCGGGCTACAGTAATACTCCGACATGCCACAGCAGCGCTTAGACATCAACGTTAGTCTTTCTGGAAGCTGGTCAACAGGGCGAATTGGGAGTCGGAACTGGGTCGTCAAATGGTCTATAAAATCCACCATTGGGTCTGGACTGTAGGTTTACTTTTTTCGGTCAAAGGATATTCTCGAAATGCAGTAACACTAGGAAGTCGGAGGCTTTGACGCATGGAGACCTGGTCCGAGAAACGTCGACGACCAATTGAGTCTGGCTATGGCGAGTGTCTAGCAACAAATATGGCCGAAGAATCATTCGTGTCATGTTAGTCTGAGGAAACAGCACCTTGAAGGCAATTCCAGCCAAGGCCGTCACCTCCGGCCCCATTGCGGAAATTCGGGCGGTGACGCCGATCCGCGCTTTCCCCACACTGTTCCAAGCACCCGTTCGTGATGGTTTGCCCAATACCGGCAAATTTGCATATGCAACTCTACGTAGCGACAGAGGTACGATCTACGCTTTGTGAGCTGTTTCATCCCCATGCAGGGTATGCTAATTTCCATGTCGGGATGTGATTCCAGAAATCTAGATGGTCTGTATGCTGGCTTGATGGTTCGTCGTCTCTTGACGCTCGACAAAGAAAACGTACTAGATGGCCTCACAATCTTGTATATTGCCTCATATTAGTTTTGAGTGTACTTGAACGTACTACTAGCTTCGCTTAGGGGCTTACATGGATCTCAGTGGCCGGCAAATATCGATGTTACCCGGCCATCGGGACGACAAGTCCAACGATGAAAGACGCAACGGTCACGAAATCAGGCTTTCCGTGTATCACGGTATGATTCTGAGTTAGCAGTGATGATGGCACATTGGTAGCTAAGGGAGAGGAGCGGCCTGGGAAACGGGTATACTCAGGACCGTTCATAGTGTCACTCTGATCAGTGAGATGACGCAGGAGAGAAGTATGAGCGTCCCTTCGCACTTGAAAGGGCGCCCATACGGCTGCTGGGACGTCTATATATTGGTCCGACCCTCCTTTCCCGTCTTCGATGGACCTTGATCGCTATCGCGGACTTATACAATTTTTTACAAGTACCTGGCAAAACCATGACACGACTTCTCATTGCTATCCTCGCTGCAAGCCTCGTCCGCAATGGACTGGCTGCCCCAGCTCCGAACAATGGCGACGTAGCTATTTCGGACCCTACAATGACCATGCCAACTCCGACCATGATAACGGCGGAGCCTACTGGCAAAGGCAAGGGTCCCGAGCCCACAGGAAAGGGGAAAGGGAAGGGGAAGGGAAAAGGTCAGAAGCCCAAGATGGCTGTTTGACTTGCCATACTGATTCTTAGGCATTAGGCAAAGGAGTATCCCCTACTGGGAAAATGCCGTCCCCGACTGGCAAAGGAAAGGGTGGTGAGCCAGAGGACCCCACGATGACAATTATGGTCCGACAAGAGGCCACCGGTAAGGGCAAAGGGTGCGTTGCGTTTTCTTTCGACTTCTGCCCGCCTACATTGAAGAGAACATATTGAATAGCATCATTTCTCACGCCACGAGGAGGAGCTATTGTATCAAACATATAACCCCTAAGTCCAATTTATGAAGAGCCGGAACCACCATAAGCTTTCCATGTCACGGCTTTGAGTTTTTTCACACACCTGTTAGAACCACTTCGATCATTCCGCGTTGGGCTTGAAAGCATCGAGTGTCTCTGCAGGAAGTGTTCTTGTGTCCGTTATATTAATGAAACTTCAACTCGCAGGATGCCCACTGGCTTTCCAACTGGAAAAGGGAAAGGGGGAGGCAGACCGACAGGCTTCCCTACTGGAAAAGGGAAAGGGGGAGGCAGACCGACAGGCTTTCCAACTGGAAAAGGGAAAGGAGGGGGTGGTTTTCCAACCGGCTTCCCAACCGGAAAGGGAAAAGGGTCAGTAAAACATGATATTTGCAGAAAAGGGCTGAACATTCTCCTGACGATTTCTTCTACAGCACGTCGATGCCGACTGGCAAAGGCTCAATCCCGACCCCAACCCCAAGCCCCATGATCTAGCCAGCATCTGAAGCTGTCGCGCTTTCATTCTGCCAATATCTTTATATTTTTGACGCAGTTGTTTTGAGACGTCTCTTAGAGTTAATTCTCCCGGACGCGTCGCACTGTTGGGAATGGAGGCAGCAAGGTCTGTAAGGAATGCTTCAGTATCCCGCGTGGTGAGAACTTGATCGCCTCAGAAGCGCATGCTCATCATGATGACCCAAACTTTCGCTAGAAATTCTATACTCAATTTATTTTATATCTCTGACGCTTGATGAGCACAGTAGCCAGAGCAACAAGACGATGACTAAACACATCGTCTTAGTACTCGTCTGACCCTGGTGTGAGCACCCTTGGCAGATACACTCTATCAAACAGGCTCAGCATACCTGATTACCGTGTGTAACATCCCTGTGACCGATAAGTCCAAGTCAAGGCCGTTGTCATCCCGACGAGGTCCACGTGACTGACTAGTATTGTTCAAATGAAAAATTTTCTACCTCATCCACCTAGGCGACCGATCCCGATGGGTCTCACGACAATGTTTTTCACTCGCTCCATATAGATTGGATTGAGGTGTGGCGAACATCAATCCGAATTGGTGTAGTGGCTAACATTTGACGCTCTCATGGGATCCTCAGCGTTTCCGGAAGCACCGTCAAGCCCGGGGTTCGATTCCCCGATTCGGAGTATCGATCGCATTTTCTTTTGTCCAACCAGTACTCTCTCCTCTCAGCGGCATGGACATATGCTTTTGTTTCGGCTTCTCTGAGATAAACATTTCCCAGATTTCTCGAATACAGTGGCTCCGTAACAGTGCATCCATCCGTCAGCCGCTTGTCATTCTCCTCTATTACGCGTGTGATCAATGAAGCACGCATTCGCAGCTCATGATCTTAGATACCTTCTGGCACTGGATCTAGGGTGGGCTGAATAAAGCCAGCTGTTCCTGCAACCCAACGGCCAAAGCTACTGCAATACTCTCTCAGACGGTTCTGATGAATTTGGCGACAATTGAAAATAATGGGCTTAGGCGTGATCGGTGGCTTCAGTGGTGGTAACAGCGGGAATAATGCGGTATGCAGGTAGCTAATCCATGATTTAGCGAGTTTCTTCAGCACCCAGTTGCTGCTAAATAAGACTCCCCAGCAAAAGTCCCTAAGTCACCGTCTGCAATGGTTACCAGGCACCTACCTCTTAAGTCCTACATACGTCCTAGGCAAGGCAGGATGGGGGCACGGTACAGCTGGAATGGAAGGACAGATCATTATGATGATATTGTCGATTCGTCTACCGATTTACTTGGGCTATTTGAAACAAATCGCTTGAGTCTTTTTCCAATACCGTATACGAAGTGCAAGAGATGAGCTGCACTCAACACTCTACAAGCAGAGGCACCATTCGCCATACCAAAGTTTTACGCCCTTCAAGCTATGAGTGTTATTACTATGTACAGGGCTATCGATGCTCGCCAAAACTTGGAGTAGTTCTAAGCATTCTTAACACCAGGGGCCGCAGCCGCTAGGAGAGCTTCGAATTTTGGCGTTCCTAGTCCTGTGACGGGATCCCATCCGGTTGTCGCATTCCACCTCGCCCCATTGCGGCCAAACGCAGAGTTGCTTGTACATCCACTGCCGTAGCCGGTCGTGATGTCGGTCAAAGCAGCCGTGTTATTGTACAGCCATGGGTTTAAGAACCCCAGAGGCGCAAGCCCGGCGCTCTTTCTGGCGGCATTGAGCAAGGCGACTACACCGGCAAACGTTGGCGACGATGCACTGGTCCCAGAGAGCAGCGAGCTGCGGCCCTTATCAATGACGGCGTACAGAGAGCCCTGGGCAGCAACATCGGGAATCCCCCGTCCCGAAGCATTGAAGTAAGCCGAGTACGTTTTGCCGATTGACTTCAAATAAGCATTGACCGCCTCAGCCTGCCACGTGGGCTGCGCATGTAGACTGCTGAAGCCACCGCTGGAAAAGCTGACGGCCGCCTCGGGATTGGTGTTGTGTGTCGCGCCGACGGCGGTAACGTATGGGCAGCCGGCTGGAAAGGTAGGCTGGAAGTATGGCGCATTGTCGGATTCGCGGACGCAGGAATCGCCTGGGCCCGAGTCACCGGATGAGAAGAGAACGCTGACACCGCGAGCGCCGAGTTGCATAAACACTGGCGCGATCAAAGTCAGTGGCCAGTTCAAGTAGGTACTGCAGATTGGTTTTGAAGGTGACGGGTATCTTGAAACTCACTGTTGCAAATCTTCAGCGCATAGTCTGCCGGGACACTCTGTTCTTCCTCGCCGTAAGATGTTGACAATGTTTGCGGCAAGTCGGCGTCTTCTTGATCAAGAATATAAGTCAAGAACTCCAGATAGGGTTCGTTCGAAGATGGACCTGGCTCATCGGTCGTAGGCACAAGCGGTCCCCGTCCTCCAGTGCTGTATTCCACGATTGGAACGGGGTTACCGACGCCGAGAATGTATTGGACGTCAAGATTTGCCTCCCCGCTGTCGTCGCTGCTGCTCTGGTTGTCCAAGCCACCATTCACCAATTCGACGGTAAAGTTCTGTCCAACAGCACTTGTCGCATACTGTTTCTCAAACGTCTGCAAGTCCGAGTATCGCGCGTATTCTTCTAGGTACGAGCAGAAGCCCACCAGGTTGCCCTTGGGGGAAGCGGTGTACTTGATGTTATAGAGCGACTTGAGGCAGTCGGGAGTGACTCGAGTAGATGAGCAGTCAGCGGCCGCGATCTCCATCTCAGGCTGATCTTCAACCTTGCCCAGAATCTGCATCTCAAAGATGGTAGATTTCTTGGCGCCGAGCTGACCGAAGCGCGTGGTCGGTTGAATTAGGTCGATGTTTCCGGCAAGTTCATCCGGGATACTGTAGGAGAGGGTTCGGAGCTTGGGGCTTCCGCCGGCTTCGTACTGATACCACGCGAACGTAGTATCGAGAAGCTTGTTGGCTGTCCCTACATCTGTAGCAAATGTAATCCAGTCGTTGTTCACAGACGACTCGATACCGCTCTCAGCAAGCCAACCGACGACCGAAGAGGCCGACTGCTTGCTTGGAGCTGTATAAGATCGCAGCTCTAGGCGGCTCATGTGCTTCCCGTAGTTTGGATGCCCAGGCGTCGACATCTCGACCACGGCTTGCTCCAAGGCGTCGGCATGCTGCTGGGGCAGAGCGAGGCGTAGCGCAATTGGCTCATCTGAGGACGCCTGGCGTACCTCCGTCCATCCTTTTGGAACAGTCGGGAGACTGTCCATCACCTTGGCCGAGGCGGCCGTGGCGAGCAGGACCAGTAGAGAAAACATGGCGATGAGTGTTGATGGAAATCACCAGGCTCACGGTTCCAAATCTGAGACTAGGCGAAGACAACGAACGAGTGTATTCAGCCGCCGCGATGGTCTGATTGGAAGAGTGAGCTCATTTTGTAAGCGCACAGCATCCGTCTTATACTCCCACAGGTGCTTCTTGACGTACCTTGCCGGGTCGCTGCAGAGGCCATGGCGTTGATGCGAGCCAGACAAAGCCTGTGTCTTGCCGAATTGCCCGCAATCTAAATCCCTGCTGGTACCAATGCCCTGACTATTGAGTTGCCGAGTCTGGGGAGATCTCCCGCCCATGTCCTGGATCAATACCACCGTGCCTAGCCCCATCCGGCAGGCCGTCTCGCTGCAACGTCCGTAGAAGATAAGCTTTCGCTAAGAGATCTTGTCACGATGCAGGGCCAGATGAGTATGACGGGACATGATCTGCCTTATTCGTGCGTCCCGGAAAGTCTAGGGGAAGCTCGAAGCAGTGCCAGCAGTAGCTTTCAAGCACATCGGCCATGACTCCTACATGGAGAAAGTGAGGGAGATCTCTCCTTCCCTAAGTATCGTGACTCTGAGGTCATCGAGGAAGCGAGTGCACAGCGAGGGCAACTTTTCCCATGTAAGATCGGAAGTCCAGCAGGTAAAACCTTGAGCTCCAGCCTTCCTCTTGAACTAGTGTCACGAGAGAATCGTGCCATTTGTAACAAGAGAAACGCAAGACCTGTGATGCTCAGCACATTAATCTTGTACGGCGCTTAGCATCTTGTTGGTCCCTGTTAAGCGATCGAAAGGCGGAGTGCATGAGCCAAGACACATCAATTTGTTGCTAGGCCATGCAAATGTCCGAAGTAGATCACCAACTAGAGGCATGAATCGCTTATCACTCTGCATTATAACCCATCACTCGAGGTCTGGAGCGTATGTCAAGCAGTGAATGAGTCTTCTGTTCGCGAATATTAGACCGTCTGCTCATTATCTCACACAAGCTCGCACTCACCCTGTTGTTTCCACAGCAGTCTGCTGGACGACTTTACACCTGCTGGCAACAGATTGAGAAGCATCAGGAGAACGTCATAACGAGGCCCATACGCCACTTGTCAGGAGGTGATGGGGTGAATAGCCTATAACGTGGGGTTTTGACAGAGACCTTCAACTCAGAGCAGAGTTATGTGGGCGTGCGTGTCGTCGGCAAGAATCGGTGTTAAGATGCAATACAGACCGTTTTTCTCTTCATCAAGGGAGGTCTTGTTATCACACGTCTTCATGTTTTCTCAAGTGCAAAGAGAGCTGCCTCATTTCGATACCAGCGACTCAAGACTTCATGATTCATCGGTCTTTCCTCTTTTGACAGTCACTCACAGGGGCACACGGCTACTGAATGCAAAGGCCCGAACTCGGACGCGTATTCCGAGCCCGATTTTGAACGTCTCGCCAAACAGTTGTCGGAGATCACCTTGTGGATAGATTTCTGTATGAGATGGCTAAATCGATGAAGTACTTGTTGCCATGCCGACGAAAGAATCTTGTCATACATCTTGTTCACGACGGCGAAATCTGGCCCGATTTGAGCGATCGTGGACCGCAAGAAGACCTTAAATATCAATGTTCTCGAGTCCGTTCCAAGCCAAACTTCATAGACCCAAAGTCGGCAGATGTAGACATAGCCTGTACATCACTAGAATTCTCATGTAAGATTGAGACGATCGAAGTCCGACAGTTCCGTACACCACGACATCCACTTTGTAAAGCGGCTTGTCTTGCCTCCATTCACTCACCACATAGATCTCGTCAGATTCCTTTGAGTCGGTTCTGTAGCCCTTACTAAAGAGATAACATAGGGGAATAACCCAAGGGAAATGTTCAGCCGACTCCAAGATATCATTCAATCCCATACACTTCTGACAATGCATGTTCTGGGTATTGAAGTGAACATCGTAATCTTAGGAATGGTAGGAACTGAAATAGGTGTACGTATTGAGGTGTCTTCAGTCTCGTGCTCTTAGCATCCGTTCACATGGTCGACTTGGAGGAACACGAATGCCATACTGAGCATGTAGAAGGACTGAAACTCGTCCTGGACGTCTGACTGACGACAAGGCTCTACGAATATATTCGTCCAGCTCTCAGCGAGAGCCGAGCGGGTGACCAAGAACATCGAAGGCGGCCAGGATGAAATCATGTCGACGGTAGTTGTTGACATCAAATCTCGACGCCGAGAAGATATAGGACGCCTCAAATTGGAATTGTCTACTGAAAGCTGAATTGGTGCGAGCTCTGCTGCGCATAGATCGATGCTCAACACACCTTGCAGAATTTTCCACATTTTCGACTAGAGCGTAGTCCACAAGAACAAGATGGCTAAGTACTCGACATTTATG